AACATTTCTTACAAAAACGACGCCAGATGTCACTGTAGTGTATATTTCTGCATATTTTTTTGAAAATCTAGTGTATTCATCATTTTCCTACACATTTATTCACAGGTGTCTTTAACCTGGAAGTTGCTCTTTAAAAGAAACAGAAACTACTCAGGTTTTCTGATGCATGTCTATTGTTTCTACTATTCCTGCTTCACCCTCTTGTCTGTCTATAGCTGTCATTTCATTATCCTTCATCCTTAGGTCCTAATTGCATATCTCTGTGTACTCTAAACCACTTCTACTGTATTTTTAGCTGGACGTAGGCAGTTTGCCCGACATGAATGGGCCCAGAAGGCAGCGTACCTGCTGGGCTGCACCTTGGAGGAGCTGTCCTCCTCCATCTTTAAGCACCAGGCTAAAGGAATGCAGCACTCCACCTCATTCAGAGGGAAAGCAGACGATGGAGGCCAGGGCGACAACTCAGGTAAAAAAACAACTTTTTAGATAATTTGCACACCGACTCTCCACTGAACCTCTGATGTGGTCAGCTGTGGTTGCTCTATCCCTGATAGTGTGTGAGGATCAGTTCATAGAAGCTCATTTGTATAGAGGGTAAAGTGATGACGTTTTTTATGTCTTGAACAAAACATGAAAGTATTTTAAGCCACTAGCTCCATACATAATATTTATAAATATCTCCTAAGCTACATGTGTAATATATATGTATATATTTCTTTTGATTGCACTTTTTAACTGAAGCTTCTTGTGTTTTTATAAATATCTCCATAACTGGAGATATTGTTTTTAAGTCACATTAAGCATTAATTAACCAAATAATCTATTTACTACATCTAATTCAAAAACATAAAAAAAAAACTTTGACTTTAGGACGGGGTAACCAGAAATGCTAACTCATTCCCAGGATTTAACACTCATCCCTGCACCACTCTATTTAGATGTTATACACTGCACTCTATAGGCGCTTTCACACCGGAGTACTTTTCCCACTTTAGTTCCGATTTAGTTCCGAAATGTCGCGTTCACACCAAAATAATCCGGAACTAAAATGAGTTCATGAGAACCTTTTTACCCCCTTTTTCCCGTCCCTGCTAGAGAGCGGGGACTTTCTTGGGAGAAAAAGGTTCCTATTTCTGATTGGCTGGGCGGATTGCAAACCACGCCCCGTAAAACTCCCAAAAGAATTTGTGAAGCTGCCATTTTATTATCCTTGCATTAGCATGATTAGCATTAGCACAGCGCACAAATGCAGAGAGACTAGCTTATAATAATAATAATACATTTGATTTATATAGCGCTTTTCACAACTCAAAGACGCTTTATTGTATGAGGGAGGGTAGATAAACAAGGACAGGCAAACAAATAAATATATTAAAATAAAATAAACAAAAAAAAGGCAATCAAGAGGAAGTTGATTGAGAGGGGAGGGGGGCTTATGAGTAGACAGAGTTGAAAAGATGTGTTTTGAGGCGGGACTGAAAGACTGTGAGAGACTCTCAATCGCGATTACGCTTGCTTGGTAGCACATGTCTTCCGAGTCACTTCCTTCAGAAGTTAGGCAAGAATCCTTCCTGGCATTCGGA